TGGTCTAGCCAAACAGTAATCCCTCAACCAAGTCATGGCGGATCCAGACAAGTAAAAAGTACCAAAGTTGACCCCATTGGTCTCCACTATCCCCATGTTCCTGGGAACCTCGTGACAACTGCCTAAATAATCTTGGGGATCCTCACAAGATGCACCACTGAAAGTGGTAGTGAAGAGCTTGGTGAAAATTACCCAACCTCTACAAAGCCTCCGAAGATGTAGTTGATCTATCACCAGTTGGTGCTGCCACACCCGGCTGAACGGCTCCAACTGGCTGAACTGCGAGAGTCTGAAACTAGGGAGCTACCTGCTCTGGAGTGAGACTAGTAGGAGTCTGGGCTCCTCCTCCAGCCTGAGAGACGGCTGGTGCTACAGGAAGTAAGCCTGCCTGGGTGACACTCTCCATAAGGCCCACTAGATAGACCAGAGCATCCTAGAGTACGGGGGTAGCAATAAACCCCTCCAGGACCTGAGTTGGGCCCACTGGAACTGCGGGGGCCGGAACCTCATCATCAAAATCAACCTGAGGCTCCGCCGCTGGTGCTGCTGCTCGGGGCTGAGCTCTGCCCCTACCTCGGCCTCTATCACGGCCTCGGTCTTGCCCTCTGTCCCTTATGGGAGCTGCTGCTGGGGGCTCACGTTGCTGGTCAGTGGATGAGGAAGCGCGTGTTCTCGCCATCCGCGAAAGAATTGAGTACAAATTCAATTAGCTTTGAGAAACCAAATCGTACTACAGGAAAGAATAAATGTGAGGTTTTTCCTAACTCTGTAGCCTCTAGGAATAAATACAGACATCTCCGTACCGATCTCTCAGACTCTACTAAGCTTGTCTGTGAATTGTGATACCCATGTAACCTAGAGCTCTGATACCAACTTGTCACGACCCGGTTTACCCACCCTCGGGAGTCGTGATGGTGCCTACTAGTAAAAGCTAGGCAAGCCAACCAACTGAATTATTTACCATGTTTCCATTCCAAATCCGTTAACAACAAAGAACTAACAGTTACTAATCAACAAAATTTAATAAGAAAAAGATTTAATTTCAAGTTTTAATAACACTGCTAATACCATTCCATAACAAATCTACCCAAGACTGGTGTCACAACTTCACAGAATGTCTAAGAGTACTACAATTAACGGTCTAAAATAAATAATACAACACTGTCTCTGAGAATACAAAAGAAACAGGAATAATAGATGGAAGGAGTCACCAAGGCCTGCGGATGCCTACAGGACTATCTCGGGTCGCCTGCAGGACTATCTCGGGTCGCCTGATGAATGCGAAGTAGCAATCTCACTGCGGTCCAAAGTCTACAGCACTGGATCTGCACAAAAGAGTAGAGAGTGTAGTATCAGTACAACCGACCCTATATGCTGGTAAGTGCCTAGCCTAACCTCGACGAAGTAGTGACGAGGCTAGGACCAGACTACCAAATAAACCTGTGCAATTATATAATATATGATGGAAAATAAAGCAGGAATAAACAAATAAAGATGGGAGGGGGAAACATGCTTCGGGAAATAACAGATAAAAATAGAATATCAAGAGAAATATAAAGGGATCCAAAATCCAACCACTAACAAGAATAAGGAAAAAACAAAGGCAGATTTCACTTTCTTTTCACATCTTGTTGCAGGTGTGCAACCCGATCCCATTTCTTGTATCTCGTGGCAGGCGTGCCACCCACTCCCATTTTATTTATCTCTTGGTAGGCATAACACCCGCTTCCATTTTATTATATCTTGTGGTAGGCGTACCACTTGCTCCCATTTTATTATATCTTGTGGTAGGCGTACCACCCCCTCCCATTTCATTATATCTTGTGGTAGGCGTACCACCCGCTCCCATTTCATTTTATCTTGTTGTAGGCATATCATCCGCTCCCATTTCATTATATCTTGTGGTAGGCGTACCACCCGCTCCCAGTTACAAGCCAACAATAATCACAAGGAACCCCGACAAGGGAACGAGAGCTATATAACAACTTCCTGGCAAGGGAACAATGATACTTCAACAACATCCCGACAAGGGAACAATACTATCAAAACAAACATCCCGGCAAGGGATCATTAATATCAAACAAACATTCCGACAAGGGAACAATGGTGATAATAATATATGAAGCGCAATAAACCACAACAGAGTTATGACAATTATAATACAAGACTCACAGGCATGTTTGACACCAACGTATAGATACTCGTCACCATGACTATACGTCGTACTCCACAATTAATATGTAGCAAATAAGACATAACTCCTAATCCCTCAAGCTAAGGTTAGACCAAACACTTACCTCGATGCCACGAGCATAATTCACGTTTCAATTATAGCTTTACCCTTGATTCCACCACCAATTCGCTCGTATCTAGTCACAAGTTACCTAATTACATCAATAAACGTAAATGAATCAACCCTAATGCATGAACATGAGTTTTCCAAAGTTTTACCCAAAAGTCAAAAATTGTCCCCCTGGCCCACATGGTCAAAACCCGAGGTTCGAACCAAAACCCGATTACCCATTCCCCACGAACCCAAATATATAATTTGTTTGAAATTGGACCTCAAATCGAGGTCCAAATCCCCAATTTTTGAAAAACCTAGGTCCTACCCAAAACACTCAATTTCCCCCATGAAAATCATTGATTTTGGGTTAAAATCATGTGAAAGGATGTTAATGATTGAAGAAAACGAGTTATAAATCACTTACCAATGTTTTGGAGAAGAAAAGTTGTTTGAAAAATCACCTCTTATGTTTTTTGGGTTTGGAAAAATGAAAAATAATTGAAAATTCCGTTTAAATATACCCCTCTCAGACCCCCTGTGCGGACCGCACAAAATCGAGTGCGGTCACACAGCTCCCGTGTGGACTGCAGTGACATGCTTTAGTAGTTTGGCCATAACTTTCTTTACAGATGTCCAAATTGTGATTTCTTTAGCTTTCTGGAAACGAGACATGCAGGGTTATAACTTTCGGTTTTGAATCATCTCAAAATACCTTGTAGATCAAAAGATATAGGTTTCCGAAGTCGGACTAGTGAAATTTTTCTTCACCGCAGGACCGCACAAAATCCAGTGCAGCCGGACATGCCCCTCCGCGGCAGCACTCCATTTTGTGCGGACCGCACTGGTTTGTTCAGAGGCCTTCCACTTCTCTGAACTTGCAACAACTATGTTTTGAGACATTCCGAAACCCACCCGAGCCCTTGGAACTCCTAACCAAGTGTGCATACTAACTCAAAGACATCATATGGACCTACTCGTGCGATCACATCATCAAAATAACATGTAAAATCATGAATTAAACATCAAAACTCAACATTTCCATCAAGAACTCTCAAAGTTCATAACTCTTCAACCGGAAATCCAAATCACATCAAATAAACTCCGTTTTCCACCAAATTTCACAGTTATATTTCAAATACTATAACAAGTTTGTACCGAGCTGCGGAACCAAAATACGGGCCCGATAACAATGGTTTCAAACATTAATTCTTTTCTTCATTTCTTAGATGATTCAGTAAATAATTTCTTTCAAAAATTGATTTATAAGGCCTGGGACCTCGGAATTCATTTTCGGACATACGCCCAAGTCCCATATTTTACTGCGGACCTCCCGAGATCGTCAGAACATGGATCCGGGTTCGTTTGCTCAAAATATTGACCAAAGTCAACCATAATCAAATTTTAACTCTAGAAATTTCTATTTCTCATATTTTCACATAGAATGCTTTCCGGATATAGATCCGGACCATGCACGTAAATCAAGGTGAGGTAAAAAGGAGGGTTTTAGGCCTCGAAACACGGAATTTACTTGCAATACAAGTGATTACCTTTTGGGTCATCACAAATCCGGTGGAAGGATGAGGAGATCGGAAATTTTAATGGGATGGGAGAAGAGAATGGAATGTATCAAAGTAGAGAGAGAAAGAAAATAGTGTAACTGATTAGCGTATTTAGTGGCTTAGGGCTTGGAGGTAACCAAAATTAAATATTTTGCTATAAACCTTAAAAGGTATCTATAGAATATAATTTATTTAAATGGTATTTATTTAAAATAAATAAGATGTTAATCTTTACTATAGGAGGTAAAAATTCCTATATATTATACAACTTATCTACAACTTTCACACATTATTTCTACCAAGTTAAATACAACTACAATAACATACAACTTAAATACATAATTTATACAATATGTCTTTTGTATATTTTATATCTGATTTATAAATAGTAAAAATAAATTTCATACTACTAATTATATATTATACAACTTATCTACAGCTTATTTACAACTTATTTATAATTTTCATACATTATTTCTACTCAGTTATATATAACTACAATATCATACAACTTAAATATAATTTTTATACAATGTTGTTCAACTTTCATACAATAATTAAATATATATATATATAAATATATAAACAACAGAATATAATTTTTCTATAATTTTTTTATAATTTTACTACAGTTACGTAAATATAATATATATCACGTCTTCTTCTTCGAGTTTCAATATGAAATTCTACCAAAATCAAGTCTAATCTTCAAGCACGGACTCGCCCATAGACCTAATAAAAACCAAGACAAACTAGTTTCGTTCGTAATTTATTGGATGAACGAAAAAAAAGAAAGAAAAAGAAGTAAATTCAAACAAAGCTTAACTTTTTTTCATCACAAGTATACTGTATGAACACCTTTTTCGTTAATTTCTTTGTAAGTATACATGAAGGACAAAATACCTGATATAACTTTGACCATACAAAGGATATGATAATCATTTATGAATACTCTCTTGCCAAAAAGAATTAATTTTCCAATTATTTCAGGCTTTAGAACATTTTACTTAAAATTCCAATAGACAGCACTCAAAAGATTACAAAATTTTGTCGCATTATAGCTGTCATCAAGTAACTTCCAAACATCTAATCAAACATAATCTTAATTACTACTTATAGTATACTTATGTTGTTAAATAACGAGTAACACCCTTTTACTCTTTATTTAACTTAGAGTTGCATGGAGTTGCAACAGCAAGCAGAGGAATTTTCCTGTGAATGGTTAAACCAGTACATTCAGTCATATCCAGATCTTGCCACTTTGGCAACTCCCAATTAAAATTCTTCACAACATTTGCTAACACAAGCTCATTAGTAGCCATAGCAAATGAAATTCCAGGACATCCCCTTCTTCCTGCTCCAAATGGTATCAATCCAAAAGCATGCCCTTTAAAATCTATAGACGAATTCAAGAATCTCTCTGGCTTAAACTCCTCTGCATTATCCCAAATTGTAGGGTCTCTCCCTATAGCCCAACCATTAGTTATAACCATACTTCCAGCTGCAATTTCATAGCCCATTACTTTAGCATCTTCTCTTGCTTGGCGAGGAATTAGCAGACGAATCGGAGGATGTAAGCGCAGTGTTTCCTTAATTACTGCTTTTAAGTAATGCATTTTGTCTAAGTCATCCCCACATACTATTTCTTTTTTCCCTTTACCTATTTCTCTCACTTCATTCTGGAGTTTCTTCATGGCATTAGAATGCCTTAGAAGCTCTGTCATGGCCCATTCCAACACTATGTAAGTTGTATCAGTTCCTCCCGCAAAGATGTCCTACGTACCAAAGACCAGTCATTTTGGTTAATAAATTAAATTACAAAACAAGAAGAATGACAGTCATGGATAGATTATAAAGATACATAAGTGATGTAATTTATTGCCAATGATACCAGTATACCGCCAAATTAATGGTGTTATTGGTGATAAATCACATAATTTATGTCATCATTTGTAACGATCCGGCCGGTCGTTTTGAGAAGTAACGTTCCGTTCGGTGGCTTAAGGTCTCAAGCAGCTTTGTATATCGTGTTATGACTTGTGTGCGTGACCGAGTTCAGTTATCGGATGATTCAGGGTTAATTTGGAAGAATGATTCTTGTTTTAGAAGTTTAAGCGGTAAGAGTTGATCGAAATTTGACTTTTGTGTAAACGACTCCGAAATAGCGCTTTGATGATTCCAGCAGCTTCGTATGGCGATTTTGGACATAGGCGTGTGTTTGGATTTGGATTTGGAGGTCCGTAGGGTAATTTGAAGCATTTCGGCAATAATTGAAAAGTTGAAGTTTTGAAAGGTTGAGAGGTTTGACCGAGAGTTGACTTTGATGATATCGAGGCCGGAATGCAATTTCGAGAGTTGGAATAGCTTCGTTATGTCATTTGGAACTTGCATGCAAAATTTGACGTCATTCTAGGTTGGTTTGATAGGTTTTGGCGCGGGTTTTGGAAGTTAGAAGATTTGAAATTTCATTAAATCGATCCCTGGTGCGATTCGTATTTCTGTTGTTGTTTGATGAGATTTGAGACCTCGAGCGGGTCCGTATTAGGGTATGAAACTTGTTGGTTTGCTTGGACGGGGTCTCGGGAGCCCCGATTGCGTTTCGGACGAGTTTCAGATGATTTTCATGCTTGTGATCAAGTCTGGTCCTGGTCCTTCGCACCTGCGATATCTTGAAGTGCAGGTGCAGCTCCGCTTCTGCATGATCCTGGTCGTTCTGCCGCCATAGTGGTCTTGGAGCTCGCTCGCTTCTACGGAGGATAGCACGCAGGTGCGAAGGCCGCTTTTGCAGTCCAGCGATCGCAGCCGCAAAGAAGCTCGCCTCTGCGCTCTTTTTGGCGCTTCTGTGATATCGTTGTTGCAGCTATATTGTCCGCAAATGCGGACTCTGACCTTGTAATCTGAGTTCGTAGATGCGAACTTTAACTTGCAAATGCGAGAGCGCAGATGCGCTTCCTTGTCCGCCAATGCGGAAGTCCTGGGCAAAATCATATAAGTCAAGGGTTTGGCTATTTTCTTCATGTTTTGAGTTCGACACCTCGGTTTTTGGAGATTGTTCGTGGGTTTTTCAAGAAAATCATTGGGGTAAGTGTTCTTTACCCGAAATTTATTATATTCCATAATTCCATCTTTATTTTTATCTTATAATAGTATTTTGAGTTGAGGAAAATGGAAATTTTTGAAGAAAACTTTCAAAATGTAAAATGATGATTTGAAAGATGAATTGGTATCGAAATTTGATAATTTTGGTATGGTTGAACTCATATCGGAATGGGTGTTCGGGTTTTGTGATATTTGTCGGATTTTGAGGTGCGGGCCCGGAGGTCAATTTTTTGGTTGATTTTTAGTTTTTGATAAAGATTGAAGCTTTATTATCTGGAATAGTTTCTTATGAGTTTTATTTATGCTTTGAAGTTATTTTGGCTAGATTTGAGCCATCCAAAGCTTATTCACTCGAGAAGTTCATTTTAGCGTAACGATCTATCTTCCTTGAGGTAAGTATCTTATCTAACTTTGTGTGGGGGAACTACCCCTTAGGATTTGAATCTTTTAAGCTAATAGTTTCATGTGAAGTCCGTGTACGCGAGATGACGAGTACGTGCTCGGCTTATTTGTGGAAAGTTGACCTTTTAGGGTTCTTAAATTCTTATGCTCATTAGATATGAAGTTGTATTGTTATGTTAACTCCCCCATTTACTAGTTTTACCTCTACGTGTCTTAATTAGAATTAATTAGTTCATGTTCCATCCTTATTGCCTATTTGACTCTTGTGTGCCTTAACTGAAGTTGTAGCCTCCTCGACAGCCATGCTATCCTCTCCTAATTACTTATCCTTAGTTGAAATTATTATTATCTTTTCTGTAATCGCCTAATCCTTATTTGGAATTGTTGACTCATGTTATCTCTCTTGTTCTCGAATTGTACTTTGTGAAATCGTTATTAATATTATTTCTGCCTTGTTGAGTTATTCTTATTGTGACTAGTATTGTGACGACCCGACCCGTCATCACGTGAGTTACTGCCCTGTTTCCCCCATTTTATGCTTTTTCATGTTTCGTTATTGGTATTCGGTGTGTTAGAGTTAAATCGGATTGGTTTTGATAGGAAATGAGACACTTAGTCTCTTTAAGGAAGGCTTATTTCGGAAAAGTCAACCGGATGTTGAATATTAAGTTAGAGGGCTTGGATGTGATTTTCAGTGATTCGGTTAGCTTCGGGGGTTGATATGTGGCTTAGGAGTGTGATCGGAATTGATTTTGGAGGTCTGGAGTCGAATTAGGCTTGAATTGGCGAAGTTAGTATTTTGGAGAATTCCGGTTGGTAGGTGAGATTTTGGTACGGGGGTCGGAATGAAATTCCGAAGTTGCAGTAGCTTCGTTAGGTGATTTTGGATATGTGTGCAAAATTTCAGATCATTCGGAGGTGTTTTGGTCGGGTTTTTGATCAAATGCGTATTTCGGAAGTGTTTAAGAAATTTAGGCTTGAATTCGATGCAATTTGATGGTTTTGGCGTTGTTTGTGGTGTTTTGATTATTGGAACAAGTTTAAGTAATGTTTTAAGATGTGTTGATGCTTTTGGTTGAGGTCCCGGGGGCCTCGGGGTGATTTCGGATGGCTAACGGATGATTTTGGGACTTAGGATGTTGCAGAAATCTGCAGATCAGTGCTGCAGGGTTTTGCTCTATGCGATCGCAGGAGAGACATTGCGATCGCATAGAAGCATTTTTGAGGGGTTGTTTGGTTGTTCAATGCGATCGCATAAGGAGGCATGCGATCGCACAGTGTAAAGTTTATCCGGGATTTTCGTGGAAATTTGTTCAATGCGATCGCAAGAGAAGGTGTGCGATCGCATAGGCTAAGGTCATTGTGCTATGCGATCGAGAGGATAGGATGCGATCGCATAGGGTTAATTCTGGAGCTGCAGATTTTTGGCCTATGTGATCGCAGGGGCTTGAATGCGATCGTATAGAGTTAGCTATAGTGATCCGGGCAGAATGTTAAAAACATTTCATCCGCGAACCCAAACCCATTTCCTCCATTTTTGAGTAACCTTGAGAGCTTTTGACGAGGATTAAAGAGGGTTTTGACTGGGAATCGATTGGAGGTGAGTCATATGGCCTAGAAACATCATTTAATTGTGGATTCAACACCTAAATTCATGGAAATTTGATTAAAAAGGGAAGAATTAGGGCTTGACTTTTTGAATGTAAATTTGGGGTTTGAGGGAGCATTTGAGCTCGGATTTCGGTAAATTTGATATGTATAGACTCGTGGCGAGATAAGGAATCCGGTGATATGAATTTTCTGATTTTTCGAGAAGTGGGCCCGGGGCTCGGGTTTTGCCAACTTCGTGATTTTTGATGCTTTTCGAGTCTTTTCGATTGGGTTGTATTCCCTTAGCCTATTGTAACGTATTACTTATGGTTTTGATCAGATTCGACGCTCGAGGAGGTTGATCTGCGAGGCAAAGGGGTAGCGAGCTAGGATTTCGGCCTGCTTGAAGTGAGTAATGGTTATAAATGATGTTCTGAAGGTTTGAAACCCCGGATTTGCACAATGTGGTGCTATGTTGAGATGAGACACACGCTGTATGATGAGCGTGGGGTCTGTTACTACCGGGGATTTGGACTCAGTCCATCCCGTTTGATGACTCTACTGTACTTTTGACTGAGACTTAATTAATATCATTATATTATGGGCTAGTTGCCATGTTTGGGGCCTTGTGCCGATCTGTAGAACCCTTAGGGGGCATTTGTATTGGTTGACCTCACTTTTCTTGTCGAAATCATACCCTCAGTCATGTTCTTAACTGATAAACATAATATGAACCAAATTTAAAAATTATTAAATCCTAATGAGAGTAACGTGTGGGTTGAGAACCCCGTCTTATCTTAGTGTGCCCGAGAGGCCAAGTCTATGTTGACTGAGAGGGGTCGAGAACCCCATTGTGAGGGTATTTGATATGCTATGGATCGGGATGCACGCCGCAGTAGTATATTATATGGATCAGGCTGCACGCTGCAGTAGTATATTAAATAGATCGGACTGCATGCCGCAGTAGTATATTATATGGATCGGATTGCACACCGCATTAGTATAGCGCTTAGGCTGAAGGAGCCCTTCCGGAGTCTGCACACCCCCTGTGAGCGTAGTCAACTATTCTTGGATCGGGCTGCACACCGCAACAGTATATATATATATATGGATCGGGCTACGCACCGCAGCAGTATACTACATGGATCGGGCTGCACGCCGTAGCAGTACAAATATGAATTCGGTTATCGTGAGGAGTAAATGAAATGAATACTGGCTTAAAGGACTTTTAACTGATTTCTTCATTCAGTTGTTGTTTTTGATATTCTCACTGTTTTAATATAGAACTGCATAGTGTTTTACGAGTTTTCTTTTCGTCAGCCATTATTTATTGTTATTACTCACTGAGTTGAAGTACTTACTTTACTCCCTGCACCATGTGTGCAGATATAGGTATCCCGGAGGCATAGTTTGAGCTTTCTGCTGCTGTTTAGCTTATTACGGAGTAATCAAGGTAGTTGCATGGCGTCCGCAGGACCCGATTTCTCCTCTTATCCTCTTTATTTTCCGCATTCTAGACAACTCTATGTATAGGTTGCTACACAGACTTGTATTAGAGGCTCTTGGCTCGTGACACCAGATCGAGGGGATTTATATTGATATTTTATAGATTTTTCGTACTGTTTATCTATTACTACAGAGTTATAATCATGTTTATTTGGCATTAAATCCTATTAATTGGTAATGAATTCTACATAAGGGATTGTGAGTGACGAATTGGTCGAGCTTTCCTAGCATCGTGTTGGGCGCCATCACGACCGGGGATTGGGGTCGTGGCAAGTATTCTCCATTGTGCTTATTCTTTGTGAGCTCGTTCTACCGTTTATTTGTGTTCGAAAGCTCTTGAGGTGATTTTCTTGTCGTATTCTCACGTACTGTTGTTGTTGTTGTACTCAGTTTGTTGAGCCGAGGGCTATGCGCATTTATGGTATTGAACTTGTTTAGAGGAAATGTTGTGGAATATGGGTACATGTTGTGAAGGTCATTCTATTGTGTTGTTGTATTTTTGGCACGTGATATGGTTGGGAGGATTTGTTTGGGTGGTTTCACGAGGTTTCTGCCATGCTATTATCACTATTGATGTTGCATATGCGGAGTGACAGGGTAGACTATATCTGTGTGTTTACACATGTGGCGAGAAAAGGTGGAAACATTACTATGCGTGTGCGGCAAGATAAGACGGGCATTCACTTTATCATTGCGCACGTGGCGAGATAAGGTGGGCTATGTCGGGGATTGAATTGTGATGGCTTGTGATGGCTTGGGGGCATTGTTGTTGTTGATGATATTTGTTTAGTGACGTGCCTACCCTGTGTGAGTTATACCATGTACATTTCATGTTGATCGTTTCTTATGTGTCATTCATTGTTCCTACTCCTATTAGTTGGCCTAAATCGTGTTAGAACACTTGCATAAGTATACACATAGTTAATCGCCCCTAGCGGTTTAAGAGATGGATCCCGATGTTATTGATCATTTACACACACCCTCGTCTATTTGTCTTCAATATCAGAATGATTCTATTGGCATGTGAGTCATCCGTGCAGTTACCTGTTGTAATGAGGGTACAAGATTCCAAGTGATTAGGGTTCACGAATTGGGACCCGTGAATTGTGACTATTTTGGAGGTTTGATACCTCGTGGAGATTATTGGATAAACCTGTGTGAAAGCGGTTATTCTTATCGAGTTGTTACTTGTCCTTCCTCTATTTGTTCTCACCGTATTTAAACTTTGTTCAACCCACTCTACTGTATTATTAATTGTTGTGTTCCGCTGCTCATTTTTGTTGCTTCCATTTCTTACTGCAAGTACCGTGTTATTGTAGTCATTATGCGTAGTCTTTGTAGAGATATCATACTCTATTAGTTCTACACTTATGCATGTCCAGGTTATCTAGTCTATCAGATGTCTTAGTTGTCCCACGTCA